CTGGGATTCGTTAGCACCTGTGTCCCACACTCACATGCACCATAACCCAAGCTTGACCCCCAGCCCTCCATGGGCTTGTGTGCATGCTCCAACACACACACACACACACACACACACACACACACACACACACAGCTAGCCCTTAGCCATCCTCAAACTCATATTCAGAGAAGCCACAGCAGCAATGACATAAAAGGCATTAAGGACTGATTCTTTTCTCTCTACTTTCCACAGGTCCTGGGTTTGTGCTTTCTAGATCTAAGCACTCCTGATAGGCACCTTCCTCATTCTGTCAACTTACAAGAAGCACCAAGGCAAGTGACGATCTGTATCTGTATTTGTGGCAGCTTCCCCCCCCCACACACACACAAATGGGACTATGATTGCTTTCTACAAAATCTTTCCCTAAAGAAGGATGTTGCTCTGCACAAAAAGCTTTGGTATAGGCAACAGTCTTTAAACGGGGAACGGAAGTTGTTTTCATCCAAGGATTACTTCTTGCAACATTTGAGCTACAGTATTTGTTAATTAAGGTGGCAGCATGGTGTTCACATAGCTAAAGAGCTAAACAATAGTTCAACTGAAAACTGAAAACAAACTGTGGCAAAGGGGAAGGGGGAAGACGTCATAATAATAAGTGACACTTAGGATCACAAATCGTGTGCCAGGTTCTGTGCTAAACACGACACATGCCTTCTCTTCGGTAATCCTGAGTACAACCCTGAGAGATGGGTCATATTTGGAGACTCACTTTCTAGATGATGAAACAGGCACAGTGGGGTTGATTACCCAGCCAGGAAGCAGTGGAGTCAGGACTTGAACCCCAGACTGGCTCCAATGTTCGAATCATTTTGTTGTGTTTAATCTCTTTGTTGTTAGGGTAGTCAGTTTGGACTCAGCACTGCCCTGGGAGAGGGTTATAATGCCCCTGGATTCCAGACTCTCGTAGGCACCCTTTGGTTTGACTCTATATCCACCAAATAACCTTCAGGCTAACATTTAGCATCTCTGGGGTCATGACAACAGGGAGTTTTGTGAGTCCTATGAGAGTAGTTTCTCCCTGTCAAATGATGAATTGGCGGTTTCCTGCCTACCTCAGCCTCTTGAACATCCAGTTACTGAGTCAGGGCCCTTGAACTTAAGTACTCCCCCAACCCTGTAAACAGGGGCCAGATCTTGGAATGTTCCAGCTCCATCCAGAGACTTCTCTGTATAAAATCTCCACCATTTCCAGCTGGGGGTCCTGCAAGTCTGTGTCCTGCTTCAACCGTGTTTGAATGGAACAGACCCAGGCTCCCACCACCCTTCAACCTCTTTTCCAGTCATAACCTTTGGAACTATCTTCTCAGCCACCCTCTATCTCTGGAACCAGCCAACACCATCTTTTGGGCATAGCCTGTTCATTGCCCACCAACGCTGAGCTCCCAGTTTGGTCAGAATTATTCCACCGAGGTGGAGGCCACTGTCAACGGCCCGGTCAGCATGCATCTGCCCACCTCCTGCACCTACCTCTCTCTGGGCTTCTATTTCCTCCATGCTGGTGTGGCTCTGCAAGGCATGGGCCACTTCTTCCCCAAGTTGGCTGACGAGAAACATGAGGGTGCCCAGCACCTCTTGAAGAGGCAAAAACAACACAGCAACCTGGCCCTCTTCCAGAACACACTGAAGCCATCCCAGGGTGGGTGGGTAAAACCCTGAGTGCCATGGAAATGCCATGGTTCTGGAGAAGAGCCTGAAACAGGCCCTTAAAGATCTCCTCCCCAGGTTCTGCCCACACAGCCCCCAGCTCTGTGATTTCCTGGAGAACCACTTCCTAGATGAGCAGGTGAAACTCAGCAAGAAGATGGCAACCACCTGACTAACTCCACAGGCTGGCGGCCCCCAGGCTGGGCCAGATAGTTATCTCTTCCAAAGCCTCACCCTTTGAGAGGCCCCTCTGGCATCCTCTGGTGCCAAGGCTTCTGCCTGAGTTTCTCCCTGCAGCCACTAGGCAGCTTTTTAACCACCGTGGGACCTTCTCCTGAGTAGTGGACCAAATGGAAACAATAAGCTTTTTTGCAGGAAAGAAAAATCACCATTTCCAACCACCAATTTTTACTTTTGTTTTCCATAGACACCACACCTCAATTTTCCTCTTTAGCTAAGGGAAAGTGGCAAAAGCAAACTCCTGTTAGTGCTTTAAGAACCTCAGCCTCCATCATTTTCACTACATGTTCTTTCCCTCTTCTCTCCATACCAATATATTTTCTTTAAAACCAAAACACTCCCCATTATTGATGTTCCTTGAAGGTGGTTGACTCATATACACCAATTCTATTAGAGTCACCACAATATCAGCTTGCTTTGTCTAGTTTCTGGAATTTACCAAGAAGAAATTAGTAACATTTGAGATAGATCCTTGATCACTATGCTAACAAACCCCCCCCCCACACATATATACATACATATATTTTTCACAGATATAACACATATAGCATCTATGCATAAAATACATATTTATCCATTTGTGTTATCTTCGAAAAAAGGCTCTGCCAAGCACTAAGCTTTTATAATGTCCTAGGGAGTTCATGTCCTAATGACCTGGCCCCCCCTTCTAAGGACCCGTGTATGACTTGATTACCCCAAAGTCAGTCTGTGAAACAAGAAGAGCCAACCATAAGACTCACAATCACTTGTCAGACCCTGATGTGAAAAGGTGAGCTCACACCATCAGAGTCCTCTCTTAGCAATTTGACTGGGAAACAATGGGAGATGGGGCTAGTGAGTGATGGTGCTGAGGGTAAAAAGGGGGCATGAGGTTGGGCTTGAGCCAGGACAAGCCTTGTGCTACTGACATTGTGAGAGGGTGGAAAGTCACAGTAGGCTAAAGGCAGTCACAAAGCTGCTTATAGGGGGGATGGGGGGCGGGACTTGGGTGTCTCTGTCGGTTAAGTGTCTGACTTTTGATTTTGGTTCAGGTCAGGATCTCAGTGTTCGTGAGATCAAGCCCCATGTCAGGTTCTGTACTGACAGTACAGAGTCTACTTAGGATTCTCTCTCATTTTCTCTGCCCCTCCCTTACTCTCTGTCTCTCCCTCCTTCTCTCTCTCAAAAATAAAATAAATAAAATTAAAAAGAAAAAAGAAGAAGAAGAACCTGCCTGGAACAGAGGAAATAAAGATGGAGTAGACAAGGGCACTTGGGATGCTCAGTCAGTTAAGTGTCCCACTCAGGTCATGATCCTAGGGTGGTGGGATTAAGTCCCACATCAGGCTCCCCACTCGGTGGAGTGGAGCTTGGGATTGTCTCTATTTCCCTCTCCCCCACTCACTCTCTTTCTCTAAGTAAATAAATAAACATTTTAAAAAATGGAGGAGACACATGTGGAAAAGTGTGTGCCCAGTGATTCTGGTTTTGTTTTTTTTTTTAATGTTTTATTTATTTTTGAGAGAGAGAGAGAGACAGCATGAGCAGGGGAGGGTCAGAGAGAGAGGGAGACACAGAATCCAAAGACAGGCTCCAGGTTCTGAGCTAGCTGTCAGCACAGAGCCCGATGCAGGGCTAGAATCCAGGAACTGTGAGATCATGACCTGAGCTGAAGTTGGACGCTTAGCCAACTAAGCCACCCCAGGCGCCCAGTTCTGGTTGTTTGTATCACAAACATGGTGGAGAAAGAACAAAGGGTGTCTGGGTCTTGGGAGGAGGAAGGGAAGAGCCACCAAAGCATCAAAGGAAGTTAGAAATGAACCAACAACTGACCCAATCAGAGGTGTGGTGTGGGGTCCTTTGACTTTGCTTTAAGCCCCTGTGTGTCATTCTGAAAGAAAGAAAGAAAGAAAGAAAGAAAGAAAGAAAGAAAGAAAGAAAGAACGAACGGAAGGAAGGAAGGAAGGAAGGAAGGAAGGAAGGAAGGAAAGAATAACACTGATATTCTCTAAAACACACAAAATGTCTGAAATTCTCACCAAGGAAAATTTGCCCCACAGGACAGTCAAACTTCTCGAGCACTCACAACTAAAGTAAGAAAGAATCTCTCCTATAGGGTATGGATTTACATTTTGTTCAGAAGACAAGGTTCATGTAGCTGATCACATCCAAGACAAAGGAAAGGCGGCACCATAATGGTCTATGAGTTTTATTAATGTGAGCAGAATACACACAGACCTAACATCCACTCCATTTTTCTACACACGGCCTGCAGTCAACACATGACATTACTGCTGGTCTCAAACATCTTGTCACTGCCACTTAGCACCAGGCACTATGCATGGTCCTCACCCAAATCCTGAAGTTCCCCAAATTCATCCCAGTCCTGATCTGGGATTAGGTAGGAAACTCTTCCATAAGCCTCCAATCTACAGGGAATTTCCCTTTCCATGTAAAGCAAACACATGTATTTTTTATTAAGGCTGCTTACATGAAGCCTTGTACCATTCCTGCTGAATCTTCTACTTTCGCGGGGGAAAGTGGACACTGAAGGAGGTTACTGACAAGTCAAATCAAAAGTAAAATTAAAACACATTTTCTGGGGGCGCCTGGGTGGCTCAGTCGGTTAAGTGTCCAGCTTCAGCTCAGGTCATGATCTCGCGATTCGTGAGTTTGAGCCCCAGGTCAGGTGCTCCCAAGTTTGTGTCTCCCTTTCTCTCTGTTCCTTTCCCACTCACACTCTGTCTCTCTTTCTCTCTCAAAAATAAATAAACACTAAAAAAAAAAAATTTAAACACGTTTTCCAGACCCTGCAGAGTATATAAAAATGGCTCCTTGCCTTGGCAGAGCAGCAAAGACAATGGTGAAAATGTAGCGCTTGGCATGTGACCTGCAGGTCTCATTATTTTACAATCATACCTGCATGTCAAACATCAGCGTTGGCATTTAAACCCTACAAAGTTGGTGAGTGTTTAAAATGGCTCATGCCTGCCTTCTGCAAAAGTTAACGTGAAGAAAAGACAGATCTGTTTAGCACAGTGTTTTCGCTAATTAGCCAGTAACAAGTCGCAGAAAAGAGTAACACAGGTACTTACTATTTATAACCCATGGCCACATCCACAAAATACTTTCTTCTCTGTCGATAGACATTGTCCTTAAATCCCTTAAACAGAAAAGAGATTAAGTTAGTTAACCAAAAAGGTAGCTGCAGAAGGCCTAAAAGAAAATCACTGCGGAGTTCTTAAGTGTTCACTTCAAATGTAAATCCGATCCTTGGATGACCATCTTGATGACAGAGGCAGAAGCGAATTGTGCTTACAGTAAAACCTCATTAAATGTGGGTTGTACTAATTTGGGATACGCAGGAATTCAGGCTAAAGCGAAGGATACCCTTTGGTTTTCAAGTGTCATGTACATGTAATAGATGTTAATCACAAGGTAATCTTATCCTGTTTGTTAAAACAGGTCCCTTTAACCTGCTTATTCAGTAAGTTAACCCAAATGTAATTTTGTGTAAATAACCAGTAAGTGCACATTTATTAAAAATTCTATTATTCAGAATAATCACAGAACCCCAAAACTAGCATGAATTAAAGAGGTTTTGCTGTTTTTCTAGGAGTATAGCCACACAATGCAAAATCTATCATAAGGGACTCATGCACAGCATAGTAAGTTGGTTCCATTCCACACGGACATCCCGTAAAGGTGTTTACTCTTTAGCAACTTCAAGACTTTTATCCATCATCCTGCACCCGGGAAATTAAACATCCTGTCTGTCATTGTTCTATCAGGAAGACTACTGACAGGAACCTCCTGGTTTACTCAAGAATCTCTCCTCTTGTCAACAGACTTTCCACTCTCTTTTCCTTCAGGTGCTTTCAATCAATTCTTTCTGGGGTTGTTTCTTCAAACTACTGGAAACCCAGAAGGAATTGTTTCAATTTAACTTCTTACGTCTGCAACCCCTGCAACCTTAAAGGGTAGCCAGGAAGCAAGGGCCACTCTGAGAAGGGAGTCCAGGCAAGACCAGCCGCTGGGATCCCGGGCTCTGAGGGCAGAGCTGGGCCAGGCCCACAGAGCCCTAGACTGCCCCTGCTGTGGCTTACACACTTCAGCAATGGTGAGCTGGTCCAGAGGAACCTCAAACTCAGAGAAAATCATTCTGTTCTCTTTTATGGTTGAAGGCACACCGGCCTTCAGGACTGTCTGAGGTAAAGAACTCCCTCTGCCAACAGCCTTTCTCTCAGAAGAGCATCCTTAATAGCAGGAGACAGACAGAGTGCCCTGAGATCACCCAGACACGCTGCAGAAATGAAGTGCCCGCACTGGAGAAGCTGGTGCTTTCTTTCACCTGCTATGAATTGGGAATTTTCTAACTGGTGCCCACAGGCAGGCTTGTGAAAACTTATAATGCGCATACACAGAATGGTGTGACCATAGCTACCACATTCACAAAGGTGTCTGTGCCCTAAAAATGGGTTGCCCGCTTTAGAGCAGAAAGTACAAGTTTCAACTCACTAGTCATACCCAAGCAGCCCAGGATGGTAAAACCGGAAAGTTCCAAGGACCTTTATTTACTCAAAAGGAAAGCAGGCCGTGACGAAGGGAAAAGAGTCATGTGAAAAGCACAGCACCTGCCAAACCAGACACCATCCTGCAAGCATCGTTCTCTGCTGGGCTTCCCGAAGATTCTCGACTGCCTCTCCTTGGCAAACACATGCACCTTTTCCCATGTATGCAAGAGAGTGATTTACTCATCATGCCTCATTAGCCTCATATAGCAGTGATTATCCAAATGCCACTGGTGATCTAGCGCTTCTAGGATGGAGCTGTGGACTAGCAAAATAAAAGAGACCCCCGCTACACCAGTGAGTACAGAGACAAAGCATCCCTTGGCCATCTATTCTGGACTGACGGCAGGGATAAGTTATCAGATAAAATAAGGGGCACCCCTGCGATATTTGGAGCGTATTTATACTAAGAAATTATTCCTTGTTTACCTGAAATTCAAATTTAACTGGGCATCCTATATATTTATCTGCGAAAGCTGGCAACCCTACTCCTCAGCGAATATTTGTCACATACCCATCCTTCCTCTCTCAATTTAAATCGAGAACTGAAGACCCATCCAACATCCTAAGGAGCTCAGCCAAGTGTGCGTTGGCACTCAAGCAGATATCCCAAAGAGTTCAACCTTGGTGAAATATTAGAATCCCCTAGAGAGCTTTAAATAATACTCCAGGGTACCTGGGTGGCTCTGTCAGTTAAGAATTCGACTCCTGATTTCAGCTCAGGTTGTGACCTCATGGTTGGTGAGATCAAGCCCCGTATTGGGCTCCATGCTCAGCGTGGAGCCTGCTTGGGATTCTCTGTCTCCCTCTGTCCCTCCCCTGCTCACCCATGTGTTCCTTCTCTCTCTGTGTCTCTCTGTCTGTCTCTCTAAAAAATAAATAAAATTTAAAAGAAAAATAAATAAATAATACTCCAAACCTAGACACATTCCCAAAGGTTCCGATTTAAGCCCTCCAAGGTGAAATGGTGGCCTCAGTACTTTTTTTAATTCCCCACAGATTATCTTAATGGAAAGCTAAGGTTGAGAATCTCAAGGCTAAAACATGCATTCTCCAACACTAGAGCTCGTTAGGATCTCCTGCAAATCCTCTTAAATGCAGATTCTAGGGTTCATCCTGAAAGTTTCAGGGGACTGAACCCCAAGGAATTGCATTTTTTAATGAGCACTTTTTGGGTGGGCCATGAATCATACTTTGAAAGATTCTCCCAGTCCAGATCTTCACTACTCAAAGTGTCACACACCTCCAGCGAAAGCCTGGGAGCTCACCAGACATGCAGAATCCCATGACCCCAATCTGAACTTTGAAAAGACCCTCCAGGTGATTTGTTTGTCCATTAAAGTTTGAGAGGCACTTACCTAGACAGATATTTAACCCTTTCTAGGGAGCCTCAGCAACCTGACTCTCCCATCCCAGCTCCTTCTGAGCCAACCAAGAGCAAGAATGCCATCCTATGATGAATGGATAAAGAAGATGTGGTATATATATACAATGGAGTATTACTCAGCAATCAAAAAGAATGACATCTTACCATTTGCAACTACGTGGATGGACCTAGAGGGTATCGTGCTAACTGAAATTAGTCAGAGAAAGACAAATATCATAGGCTTCACTCATTTGAGGACTTTAAGATACAAAACAGATGAACATAAAGGAAGGGAAGCAAAAATAATATAAAAATAGGGAGGGGGAGATAAAAACATAAGACTTAAATATGGAGAACAAACAGAGGGTTCCTGGAGGGGTTCTGGGAGGGGGCATGGGCTAAATGGGGAAGAGGCATTGAAGAAATCTCTTGAAATCATTGTTGCACTATATGCTAAACTGCATGTAAATTTTTAAAAATTAATAACAAATTTAAAACATGAAAGAAAAAAAATGCTATCCTCACTGAGATTCTTCCCAGGCACCAAAAGTCCTTAGACAACTTTTTCCATGATCATCAAATAATAACCTCCAAAAAATACCAACTTACCAATACTAGATTTTGCATAACGAACATGTGGTGTGCTTATAAAAGAAATGCATGTGATTTTAAAAAATGACAAGTAAGTAGGAGATTACTAAGCACTTGCAATTATTTCAACTGGCTGCACAGAAAATAAGAGAAGGTATCATAAAGTAGGTATAATTAGGAATAACAGAACAGAATTAAACACAGAAAAATTCACACTGAGTATCGGAATAAATTTTTTTTCATAGCAAGGTCAGTGGTCTCTGTGGCTGCTCCACTAACAAAGCTGACCCCCTTTCTCCAGGTCAAGTAATTTAAAAACTAGACTAAGGGGAGCATTTGGAAATACGAGCTTAGCAGAAAATCCTTTACCAGCCAGGCATTGATCTGAGTGATTTAATACAGCATTTCCATCCCTGGGATTAGCATTTACTTTTGCCAAAATGCTTCCCAGTTGTTTTATTATGAAGGCTCTTCAAACGCCCTTTGGAGCTCAATAAGAATTTTATTTCCACTTTACATAAAGAATTTGAGGTGCAGAGGTAAAGGGACTTGCCAAAGGTCATCCTGCAAGTTAATAGCTGGTATCTGGAAAGTCCCATTACTGCTAATCTCTTAAATCAGGCATCTGTGCTCATTGTGACTCCTCTGGAAGTGAGGAAGGGGGAAATAACAAATGGATTATTATTAAAGGCACTGTTGAGTGTTTTTCTAACATTCAGGAGCCTCACACGTGAATTACTGTGAAGTATTCTGAAATTTTAGACGGGCAAATGTAACACACCGCGTTTTTTAATAAATTCAGCTTCTTGAAAATAATGCAATTGAATTAGGTCTGTTCAATCATTGCCTGAATGGTATCTTATGAATTGGTATATTGTGCCAAATGACTAATTCGATTGAAAATTCCCCTCTTTGTTGAAGTTGTCATAGTTTCCTCTAAAGCAATGGTTCTCAAACTTAGATGTGGGCTTGTTAAAGCAAACCCTCCGGTAATGCTGATGGGGCCAATCCTGGGACCACACCTGGAGAACCACTACGTAGAGTATAGTCACACTGTCACACTTCCAGGTTTCTTCCCTTTGAATTAAAGGAATATCTGTACACCATTACCCTCAGACTGCAAAGCCCTTCTATAAGCATGACTGATTTGCTTGGGTTTCACTCTTTTATCTACCCACTTTTAGACAAGGGGCACTGGGAAAAAAGTGCTTGCAACAAATGAGTACATTGCTTATTTCTCCCAGACTATTAACTATACTTCATTCTGACCATAAAGAAGTTCCAAGTCTCTTGTGTTAAATAAAAACTGATGTAAAGGGGGAGTAGGAAATAATGGGAAATGCTTACCTACGTATCATATTTCTTTACAGGTGGTTGTTTTTATCGGAATAGAAGAGAGATAGTGGTAAATAGATTCAGGGTAGGTGTGGGGAAAGATGTGTTTTCCATCACAACCTTATTCTAAAACCCTCTGCCTTTCCATTGAGACTGAAGCCCACCACATTACTCTCCTCCTAACTACCTCCAGTCAAGGAAAATAGCAAGGAGAATTTTATTCTCTCACTGAGCCCCGTAATGACTAGTCCTCTCTGGTTTCTCAAAGGGGTGATCCATTTCAGTTCTTCGTTTTTCCAAGGGTCACCATCTGCAAGTATATCTCAGGCTGTCTAATGCTACAGAGATATTTTCCAAGGTTTTGAACCTCCTCCTCTATCCGACCCTCTTAAGAACAAATGTTATGTGAGAATGCCATCCTTCTAATCTGCTTCCGGCCGCCGCATATGAACAGGGAAACTTTATCATTTGAAAGTCTGCCCTCCGTTATGGGGAATAAATAATAAATTGCTCTACAATAAAGCGTCACAGCACACAACATGGCACACTGCCTGGCACATGCGAGGAGCTGGAGGAGCATGGATGGAATGGATTTTGCTGGACGCTTACCGGGTGGTCGGCATCAAGCTCAGAACCATACATGAGAACTCTGTGAGAGCATTTGTCTAACTCCGAGATCTTCCGGGGAAACCAGGGCACATCCTCTAGCTCTGTTGAAAACACAGTGCGGGTTCAAAAATATTAGCTCACAGATTGTACTTTTCCTCTTTTCAACATTTCTCAGATTGCTAAATCACCCCACAAGGCCTTGCCTTCTTCCTCTGTCCAAATGTTCTCCGGCGGATTCAGCGTCACAATTGTACTTTGAAATTTCAGCAATTGAATGAGCTCGTTAAATTCCGTTTTGCCACATTCACAGTCCACGAAGATTTCAACCTCTGAACTTCTTCGCCGGGATTTTCTGGACTCGATATGAACCATGTTGACATGTTTCTCCTGTGGAAATATAAGCGACATCTCTAAATTAGCCTCAGGGCACAATAACAGGGACACCACGGGCTGTTCTTATTCAACTCTTAAGGACAGGTGCTGAGTGCCCACAGAGGATGAAAGACCATCTCCTTGCTCTCTGGTTGACTAAAACACGGAAATGTTTCCAAGTGCTGCCTCTGTTAATAGGAAAAGACACTGTATATAGTTTTTCCCGTCTTATTTTTTTTAAAAAAGAGGGCATAGAAGAGCATATAAAGGGCCCTATAAAATATATTATAATTATGACATTGTTTTCCTGAACAGCCCACATCCTACTGGGGGTGTGCATGGCTATTTGGGGGAGGGGGAAATTAGCTTATCATATCATCATATGACCTCCAGATTTATATTTTTATTTTCATATGTTTCCAAAAAAAAAACATAGCTAACCTTGAACCCGATTTTATAGCTGTATAAGTTTTCCACCATAAATTAAAGTTTAAAATTCAATAATCTTTGAAAAAATAAGTAAGTAGTACAAATGGCAGGCAAATGAGGCAGACATTGGGCAGGTGGTATGAAAATGACTGATAACTGGGAGACACAAGCCAAAGTGTAACCCATATTGTAGGAAAAGAAAAGGAAGAAAAGCAGCCAAGAAAATATCTCTACAGGCAAAAACAAAAACAAAACAACAACCAAAAAGCACACCTAAAAGGGACCATTTATTCACTCTTCTGTTTCAGCAATCTCCAGACTAGCTCCTTGCAAGGATGCATCATTGCAACCATCACCCCGTGATGGATTTCAGGGGTAAAAGTCTCCTTACAATAAGGTGTTCAAGGGAGGACAGCAATTTAATACTTTATTGATCAGGTTTAAATTTGCCCAGTGATGCAGTCCACCCTTCCCCTGAGTTAAGTGAAGGCTAACTTCTCCTCTTCACCCTACCTACCCATAAATAAGCCAAAACCTCCCCATCGCACCAGATGGTATACTGCGATTATCAATTCACGTTTCCTAATACAATCCTGGATGGTCTCAGAATTTTCAGGACAGGAGCAGGGTAGGTGGTTTCCAGTGCCAGAGGAAGATCAAATCAAACAGCACCCTGCCCTGTATAAAGAAACTAGTCCTGTGACCAGGAAACTAGATGCTCTCTTTTTGTTTTTATTAACCTTTACAATAACACTCTGCTTTCTAAATTGGCTGATAATAAAGGCAAGACTAATATTAAGGTCAATGGTCTTCCCACACATACTGTGTCACTTTGGGCTTTTAATGTCCACTGGTTGAAGCGGAGTAGGTATTTTTAGACAAAGGAACTGAGGTTCAGATGGGTTAAGTGGTTTAGCTCCAACCCTATGACTAGCTGATGGCCAAGTAAAAACTCTGGGCTGCTAACTCCTTCTCCAGGGAGTCTGGTCTGCCTTTGGGCACTGAATGGAGACAACATTGGATGATATAATTATGTGTAAAATATTTCCCCAGATTTCCATTACCACTGTTTATGGTGCCTGATCCTTTCTTCCAGGTCAAGAGAGAACAAGGAAATATTTGCCAAATGAGGCTGCTAATTCCCCCTGTATGGTCATCAAAGAGACCTTACAATAAATAGGCGTCATATCTGTACACTTTACAAAGCCCTTTCACTCATATTAGTGTGTCACAACAACCTTGTTTGCTAGGAATTATTATCACTACTTTACAAATGAAGAAATTGAAGCTAGGAAGCAGCTAGTGATTGGCCAAGCCAGGAGAACACAAGCCTGAATTCTCTGCCTACAATTCCAATCACCTTTCCGCCATACCAGCAGGCTCCAGGCACCACGCAGAGCTGGGCTCCCTATCTTGCAGCTCAAATCAGCAGCCAGTGCCCCCAAGGAAAATACATTTGTAAGGAACGATGCTTGCTGAAGGGTAAGGTAGCCATCAGGTCTACCCTGGTAAGAGGGCAATACTTTTTCTGGGCTTTCTAACCTCCCCTTCAACCAGGCTCTTTCTTGAGGGTTCAAGCCACCAACCTGGACTTGGAAAAAAAGGCTACTGCATTTCTATGAAAGAAAGAGAGAGCTAGCCCTAGCTTACATATGGGGAGAGTGACTCCTCTTTCCAAAAGACATTAAGTTCATGAAACAATGAGGCGTAGGGAATGACCGATTGCCTTTCTTTATGCATCTCATTTTAGTCCGTAAATGTGCTCCTAAGACATACACACAATTCAAATGTTAACAAATCAAATAAGGCTGCAGGCTCTTGATATTTAAAGATAGCCAGTTGGCTCCTCTTACGTTTGCTTTTTCAGGTGTGAGGCTCCCATTTTTAATTAATTTAATTAATTTAATTAATTTTAATTTCTTATCCGGCAGTAGTGTGCGGAATTCCTAATCGGCTAATTCAGAATTAATAAAACATAGCTGACACAAATCTGCTTATTTCATTGTTTGGCAGATACACTTCCCTTGTGAAGCTTCATGAAATTTGGTTTCTTTGAACCTTGGAACACATTATCTGGAAATGGATTCAGTGCTGTTTCACAGCAGAGGACGGGTTTGTAATGGGGCACACATGTGGTCGCTTTCAGAGTTATGTAATGATGTTTTATATTTACCTGAAAGAGTTTCAATGCTTTTACCAATCCGCCAACTTCGTTTTTCAACGAGAATACAACAGCTGTCTTGCCACCTTCAGGACCGGTTTCACTTTTGCTGTTCCCCTTGCTGCCTTTTTTATCATCATTTTTGCCAGAGTTAGCTTTATTTAGCTTCAAGAAGGTAGAAACACACACACACACACACACACACACAAATATTGATTAGGATCCAGAATTCTTATTAGAGTTTTTGTCAGATATTCCACTCATATGCTGGAAGCTACAGCAATCATGTAAACTCAAAGAGAAGCCACTACATCACTCATAACTTTCAATCATAAATACTGGTCTAATGTACTCTGGGACACTATTTCCAAATGCTCTATGATACCCTCCAGTGGTTAAAATCTAATCCAGGGGGATCAGATTTGGTTCACTTTATTTAATAGCAACAAAAATCTGACCATCATAAAGTCTCATATAAACATAATTCCTGCTTTTCTTTCTAGGTTTATTTTACAGCATGAAATTCAGTCTGTTAGCCTAGTTGCATACTATGGAAACTATAGTAATTAATAAATAAAACAAAAATATGACCAAACATATTTTTCACAATAATTTTAGTTTCAGTTAAATCTTTAAAGTAAACTATCCATTTCATTCTGAAATATGTGAGGACATGCACTGAAATTGATAACCTTACTTTATACAGTTAGATCCACATTGCCAATGTGAATCTATCTGCACAAGTTCAACACAGAGGAGCATATTCAATAAAGGCCATCTGTGTCAGTGATGATATCTGAAAAGCGGCTGTTCCAATCCACCCACAAATAAAAGAAAAAAGGAAGGAGGGAGAAAGAAAGAGACAAAGAGAGAAGGGAAGGAAGGAAGGAAGGAAGGAAGGAAGGAAGGAAGGAAGGAAGGAAGGAAAAAGACGGACAGAAAGATGGGCAGGAAGCCAGACAGATAGATGAAATCCAGTCAGAAAGACGAAAGAAGGAAAGAAGGAAAGAAGGAAAGAAGGAAAGAAAGAAAGAAAGAAAGAAAGAAAGAAAGAAAGAAAGAAAGAAAGAAAGAAAGAAAGAAAGAAAGAAAGAAAGAAAAAGAGAGATGAAGGAAGGAAGGAAGGAAGGAAGGAAGGAAGGAAGGAAGGAAGGAAGGAAGGAAGGAAGGAAGGAAGGAAAACTAGCTAATCATTAGAAGCAAAAAGTAAAATCTGAAAAACTGAACATGAATTACACTTTATTAGACATTCAAGATACTGTAATACAGGACTAATTGATGACTATGAGCCCTATTGGTTAAAGACAAAAAATGGCAGATTTCAGATACTTGGATCACATTGTCAGAAATAAAGTAAAAGAGCTGGGAACTTTCAGGTAAAAGACAAAGTGAAGTTAGGTTGTACTTTTTTGTGTTCTTTGCATGCAAACGAAGACTTGAGCAAACAGAGAAGTTTCTCCCTGGCAAGTAGGAAGATAGTACAATCAGACCAGTCTTAGGAAACTGAGTTTTCCATGAAACTGAGAAAAGTACATTTGATATATACCCAGTAAATAGGGACTTGCAACTCTCTCCCTCTGATTTCCCTACCGGCTTTATTTTCACAGGCTTCACATTTTCACATTGCCTCACTCACCAGATTTTTATATCATGGAAATGAATATTTTATTATATGACTTAAAGGAGAAAAAGTTTATGCAGACATTGGCATTTGACAGTATGTTTAGTCATTAAAGGCTCAAATGCCATAGTGCTCTCAACATCTGCCTTCTCCTCAGCACCTAACACACAGATCTTATCTATTTAAGTAGAATTTTTTATGTGAAAGGGTCATACATTAACCATAACTCTGAGTTCCCTGTTTTGCTTCCCTCAGTTCATTATGACTTCAAAATTCCTCAATGTAATATCTCATCCAAATATTCATGATATTTAGATGTTAAAAAATCTATTTACATTTTTGGTCTCATTTCCACAAATGCATTTAAATAGTTCTATAAAACTTGCCCTGATTAGTTTTCAACATTTTTAGTACTAATAATACACCAGCACAATACCACCTTCTGGCACATGTTTGTAGCTACAATAATAAAAGAGAATTTTCTGTGATGCAGACTGAATTGTAATTGGTTTTTTAAACTCTGATGTTATAATAATGAAACAGTATTTATATTTTTAATGACTAGGAATCTGAACAGATTTTTCTGTTCATTGTCTTTTTTATTAAATCATGTGACTATTTCCTCAAATCAGGATCTAAAATCCTATAAAATGTTACCTTTTTATATTGTTAGTATTTTAAATCAAAAACTATACTAAATACTGAAACAAGTGGTATATTGTTTTCATTACTTCACCAATTAAAATGAAAAAAAATGGAGTAATGAGGAAAGGAGGAAAACTTTTGAAAGGAACTGATCTTTCTTTTATTCCAATAATCAGCACCTATAGGCGAGAAGAGGAAACATTACTTCTGCATTTAAAAAACAAGCTTTATAGATGGTTAGAGATACAGGAGACACAATAATCTTGCAGGAATCACAGAAATCTATTTAATGTCTTCTCTCTGTTCCTACTCATAACATATGGCCTTTCAAAATTCTACACATTCCTACAACCTCTTGTTTTTTATGTTCAGGAACTTCTTTACTTTCTACTTATAAACTTTGAGGAAAGGAAGTTGAGAACACAGTGATCAGTACACCGGCATTACTTTATGGAGAGAGAAGAAAGACTGAAGGCAGACAGCAGGGAAGCAGGGTATACAGATGACAGCAACAGGTTGAGGTGTGTATGCTTCCTCTATATCAGGTGTCCCTATGGCAAGGATAAATCGATTGCTACCCTAGAACACACTCCTCTAGAGTTCCAGCTACTCAGTACTCACTGTTAAGCTGCCAAGTAGCTGGTGCTCTTCGGGCACTGCTGAATCCAGAGAAAACCCTCTCCTTGCCCAGTATTTACTGGAAAACATCATCATTGCCGGCTGCATGGATCCCGATGCAATTTTCTTTCTCTGCAGCAGGGGGACTAGAGGGGCAGTTAGCAGCTCTGGCAGAAACAGAGAGGAAGGGGTGTAAGACAGCTGCCTGCTCCAGGCTCTGTCCACAGCCCTGGTGCTGAAGAAAGAGCAATGAGAATCGTCCCCTCCCCAGGCTCCTTTATATGAGTGACTGGGGACTGATGGAAGGCTGATTAGAAAGAAACTCATTTCTGGCTGCTGATGGCCACAATCAGATTACAGACCTGAAGCCTGGGGTTATCTCTGCTCCCGGTGCGGTTTGTTTCATAGGTCGAACAGTCGTTTGGGAGTGGGTGGTGGAGAACGATACATAATGGGATGTTATTTGTAAAAGAAAACACCCGTCCCCTGACGTTAGCTCTCATCTCTCAAACCTGCTACTGGCAAGCTAACCTCAGACTTTAGGTGACTATGAGTTCAAAGGTTTTGTGCTTCCTTTCCAAAAGGAAAAAAAAAATTAAAAAGATCAGCACTGTTGAATCTTTAAGCCATTTTATTTTGTGTTAATAAGTGTTTTCTGATCTGATGTGTTACAATTGTATGTATGTGATGGCTTTCATAAAAAGCACTGCTTCCCAATCCTATGATGCCGCTATGTGGTGATATTAAGGCAATTGTACTGTAAAGGATATGTAAGGCTTTGAGTTAGCCACATCTAAAGTTGAGACACTAAGCTTAGAATCTTCTTCACTTTGTGAGAAGGAAAAGGAAAGTAAATGTCTATATATCAGTTATTCCTTTGATGCTATTGGCGGTTTCTGAATTTTTCCTCTCCACTTGTAACTAGATCAAACCCAATAATTTGAATGTATAGATCAATTGAAGTATTTACTATTCAAACTTTAGTAAGTGATAATCATCATGTCACAGGAAAATATTATCAGTCTCCTAAAGGATGAAAGACTCTTCACCAAATATGCTTATTTGCCTGCAAAACTAAACAAAACCTGGGGCTGGCACTGCTTCTCTGTACAGAAAACAAGATTAAAAAATTTTCAAAACAGAAATGGATGAACTCATATTAACTGGATGTTAATTGTTTCTGGAATCTTCGGGGAATATAATTATTATTTGACCTAATTTTGGAAATATTATTTGGCATGGATTTTTTCAAAATCAGCTCTGATGAACTGATAGTAAGGTGAAGTTTTTTTTTTTAAGATTTATTTTTAAATAATTTCTACACTCAACGTGTACTTACAACTCTGAGACCAAGAGTCACATGCTCTATGGACAAAACCAACCAGGTAGCCCTAGGAAGATGAAGTTTAAATACATTGATTGAGGTTTAGAATATAGGATTTTAAGATTGTCCAACTCCTAAAACATTTCAATAAAATCATGGTACTTCTATTAAAAAAATAAATACATTGATTGAAGTAATAATACAATAGCTAATATTACTATAGAGTGCTTAATATTTGCCAATTTCTATTCCAAGAAATTTTTTAGGTAAAAACTTGTTCAATCATCACAACAACACTAACAAGCAGTAATTATTATTTCCACTTTATATAGACAGAAACTGAGGCACAGAGAATTTAGGTAACTTGCCGAAAAGTTCATACAATTAAAGAATGGCTAAGGCAGGATTTAAATTCAAGCAGTCTGGCTCCCAAATCCATGCTCTGAACTATTACATTATACAGCTGCTTAGGTATTCCAAACAAGGAAGCCTAAGTAGGCTCAAGAGACCACACATAGATAATTTCAGCTAGAATAGGGTTTGAGTTGATGAGTAATTCAACAAAACTTTGTTATACTTAACTAACTTATACTTAAGTAAACTCACTTACTATTAGGCATTGAAACTGAATTCTGGCAATGCAAAGATGAATAAGAAACAGGGCCTACCCTCAAGCAAATCACAGATGAGCTGCAAGAAGCACATGTGCAAATAAATAAGTGAAACAAATATAGTGACTTATCTACAGAAGACACTAGATGCACAAGAAACCAGGTGCTCAATGCTACCTTAGGCGAGTCAGGAGAGGCACCTAGGAGGCATTGCCTGGGCTGAATATTTAAAAGTGAGTTTGTTCTGGGTATCTACTTTAGAGAAAGGAAAGTTTATATTCAAACAAAAACCTTTACACAGATTCATATGTTAAAATGCTGAAAACAGCCCAAATGTCCTTCAGTGGGTGAATGGACACAAAAACTGTGGGACATTCATAAAATGGAATGCTACTTAGCAATAAAAAAGGAACATAACTATTGATATACACAACCTGAATGAACCTGAAAGACATTATGCCGAGTGGAAGAAGCCAGACTTAAAAGGCCATGTACATTTATATGACATTCTTGAAAAGATACAACTGTAGTGGTGGAGAACTGTAGTGGTTGCCAGAGCTTATGGGTGGGGGAGGGTGTGATTCCAAAGGGATAGCAAGAGGAAGTTTGAGGGGCAATGTTTTATATCCTAATTATGGTGGTAGTTACACTAATCTATCCATGTAAAAATTCAGAGAACTGCGTAAGCGGATTTTACTATACACTAATTTAAAAACAAAATTTTAAAAGCTTCAAAAAAGTGTTTGTCAATCAAAATGGAATGGGAGATAGAAAGCAAGTTATTCACAAAGAGAAACCCCCTCACACCTGTCAGAATGGCTAAAATTAACCAGTCAGACAACAACAGATGCTGGCGAGGATGCGGAGAAAGGGGAACCCTTTTGCATGGCTGGTGGGAATGCAAATTGGAGCAGCCACTCTGGAAAACAGTATGGAGGTTCCTCAAAAAATTAAAATAGAACTACCGTATGGCCCAGGAATTGCACTACTAGGTATTTATTCAAAAGATACAAAAATGCTGATTTTAAGGGACACATGCACCGCAATGTTTACAGCAGCACTATCGACAATAGCCAAATTACAGAAAGAGCCCAAAAGTCTATCTACTGATGAATGGATAAAGAAGATATGTTAGACATATACAATGGATTACTCAGTGATCCAAGGGAATGAAATCTTGCCATTTGCAACAGTGTGGATGGAACTAGAGTATATTATGCTAAGTGAAATAAGTCAGCCAGAGAAAGATAAATATATGATTTCACTCATATGTGGAATTTAAGAAACAAAACAGATGGCGTTAGGTGAAGAGAAGGAAAAATAAGATAAAAACAGGGAAGCAAATATAAGAAACGAATACAGAGAACAAACTGAGGGTTGCTCAAGGGGTGTTGGTGGGAGGTGGGCTAAATGGGTGATGGGCATTAAGGAAACACTCGCTGGGATGACCACCAGGTGTTATATGTAAGTGATGAATCACTAAATTGTATTCCTGCAACCATTACTACACTGTATGTTAACTAGCTTGGAGTTAAATAAAATTTTTTAAAAATAAAATTTATTCTAGGTAGAAAGAATAAGAAAATATACACAGAATTGTTGTTGTTTAACAATGCTGGAGTATGAATTTGGGGCAAGGGTGTCCTGTGAGAGATAAGGCTGAGGAGGAAAGCAGAGTCAAATCCTGCTAAAACTTGAATGGCATTTGGTGGGCTTTATGCTTTATCATCACCTTTTGCTGCAGGTGAAAGAGAACAATTAGAAGGCATTATGCAAGTTAATACCATAACCACATTGGTATCTTAGAAAAGAAGCAACTTAGAGGAGAGTTCAAGACTGAAGGCATACACCACACACCACTTAGGGCTTGAAATAGTCTGGCCAGCAGGTGATGACCTGGAGTAAGGCAATAGCATTAAGGATGCAATGGAAAAAACAAAAGATGTTAAGGGGTAAAACCCATCGAACATCTCTTCTTGGATGTAGGAGCAGGGAAAAAAGGCGCGAGAATAACTTCTAAGTTTCTGACTTGAGGGACTGGGTTAGTGACAGTGCCATACTTTAAACTAGACCACACATAAATAATAGCAATTTAAGAGAAAAAAATGTTTTGAGAGAAAGCAAGGGTGGGGGGGGGGGAGAAGCCAAAGGAGAGGGAATCCCAAGCAGGCTCCACACTCAGCACTGAGCCCAGTGCAGAGCTCAATCCCATGACCCTGGGATCATGAGATGAGCCAAAATCAAGAGATGGACATTCAACCAACTGAGCCACCCAGGCACCCTGTGTTTTACAACTTTTAAAAATTTTTTATTAATAACTAAATAAAACCCAAGAGAACCCAGGAACTAATCCATGGAAGATACTCACAATTAAAGGTAGAGTGAAAAAGGAAAGCTATCAGGTAACAAGATGATTAACAAGGTGAAACGTATAAGATTAGGAAAGAGATAAGAAAGACTTGTGGTCAATAGTTTTAAATACTAAAGAGTAGGGGTGCCTGGGTGGCTCAGTTGTTTAAGCATCTGACTTCAGCTCAGGTCATGATCTCATGGTTCATGGGTTTGAGCCCTGCATCAGGGTCTGCGCTGACAGTGTGAATCCTGCTTGGGCTTCTCTCTCTCCTTCTCTCTCTGACCCTCCCCAACTGTGCTTTCTCTCTCTCTCTCAATAAATAAATAAACTGAAAAAAATACGTAAATACTAAGGAGTAGAGGAAGGAAATGAGGACCAGAGGAAGTCTACTAGATTTGGCTATGAAACTGTTGTTGATGACCATAAAGAGTGCAGTTTTAGCAAAAGAGAAAACATAGAACCCAGATTACAGGAGTTAAAAAGAGTGTGGGTACTGAGTGCAGGCCACTGGTCTAGATCATCTATATAACATATCAAAAGACACTTCCAAATTAAGAACATAGATTTAACTACTTCTGCTCCTTCCAGGAACCCAGCTAAAACGACAGTATAAGATTTCCTTTCCTTTTTAAGGCACAAAAGAATAGCATAAATTCAAGAAACAACAGCAACAGAAAATTGGAAGCTGAAAGGAGATGAAAGAGTGATCAAAGACTTTGCAGACTTCTCAGCTATCAAAGAAGACAGAGAAGCAAATCAATTTACATTGTAGGTTCCCCTAAAGGCTCAAACACTTCCCCTAGAAGAGGAAGTAAAATGG